TTTGTTTGTTTGTTTGATTTTGTTTAACGTCCTATTAACAGCTAAGGTCATTTAAGGACGGCCTCCCCTGTGTGCAAGATGCATGCGTGTAGTGTATGTGTGTGTATTTTGGGAGGCTGCGATATGTTCGTGTTTGTCTCCTTGTGATAGCGCGGAACTGATGCCGACTTTATAGTGCTACCTCACTGAAACATACTGCCGAAGAGACCCAGCAGGACGCCCCACCCGGTCACATTATACTGACAACGGGCTAACCAGTCGTCCCACTCCTAATTTGCTGAGCGTTAACTTGAGCTAAAACTCTGGTGACCTAAAAATGTTGAGCTTCAGTTTCGTATTTGTTTTAATATGTCCCCTCACAGTGTCTGCCTGTCTTTCCAAAATTTTCTTAAATCATATCATTGAAGTCTTACAATCATCAATATATCGCAACTTTTTTCATGACACTTCAAAACCACTTCCCCTGATAACGGTTGCATTCAAAATTGCTTACCTCAGGTGGCCGTCAAAGCCGCTAGGCCTCTTGTTGGTTTATTATTGAATTCATCATTAGATGGTATTTCACATGAGAACAGAGAAGTGGCGATTTTCAAGTCGATAAAATAGCAGTGTGTCCTATAGAGTCTTAGAATATGATAGTGCATTAATCACGTGTGATGAAAAGAAATGTCATCATGAGTTTATTATTGTTTCGATTATCATGATTCTTTGGCGATATTCCTATTAATCAGCTTTTTGTTTATTATGGTACTCTCCTGAAAATAAATCGAAAGAATAACAAGCAATATGTTTGATGTATTTTTGATTAATATTTATCAATCGTTATTGTATGATTTACACATGTACAATGAATCAGTGGACCGAATAAACGCTTTTTGTTATTCGAGATCTTCGTTTATTTTCCCATTTCTCCATTCAGTAGTTTCTAGCTCGGATGTATTTGATGTTAATTGAGTATCAGGGTGGTAATTGTTCGCCATTTCCGTAACACAAACATGTTAATTCTGATTTGAAAGAAAATATTTAGAAGGTGTTTATCGTACCAAATTATGTAATTAACAAGAGATATAATGGTGGGTGCACATCCGGCTTTCATTGATTCGAAAGCAATACATGAAGGTGAAGGCTTATTTACGAATAATTATTATAATTAAATGCATAACGACCCATCAACACAGGAAAAGTCATTAGGGCCAACACATTTTTGAAAACAAAAATAACAAGAGGCCCAATGGCCTTAGCGGTCACCTGAGTTATATCATAGGTACTGGTACCTTTATTTTATTGTTTAGATGTGATGTGGAAATCAGCATGTAAACTAAGTGAAATACAATACTTGTCATGTCATCAATGGATAAGAATTTGAAAATATTGGTAAATGTTCCCTTTGGGGCCCCGCCCTAGCCCCTGGGGATGGGGCAGGAATCCTAATTTTACAAAGTAAAACTCTCATTTACCCAAGATGATTCTGACTAAGTTTGAGCAATTTTCTGCTGAAAATGGATAAAATATATACCGAAAAGTGTTATTTCCCTATATAAACTATATTAAACGTTACCCCCTCCCCAAGGGAGAACGGATAGCTCGGGGTCCTGATATTTTCAATTTAAATAAAGCCCCTGATGATCTTTCTTTCCACGTAAAGAAAATCACTGTAGTACCTCTGAGTCTGGAGAAGAAGATTTTTGAAATATTGATTAATTTTCCCTTTGGGGCCCCGCCCTGGCCCCAGGGGTCGGGGTAGGAATCTCAATTTTACAATTTGAAACCATCTACCTCCAAGGATAATTCTCACCAAGTAAAAATAATTTCCTACAGAAAGTTGTCAAAATATACCCAAAAGTGTTATTTCCCTATATAAACTATAGTAAACTTTACCCCCTCCCCAAGGGAGAACGGATAGCTCGGGGGTCCTGAAATTTACAATTTAAGTAAAGCCCCTGATGATCTTTCTTTCCACGTAGAGAAAATCACTGTAGTACCTCTGAGTCTGGAGAAGAAGATTTTTGAAATATTGATTAATTTTCCCTGTGGGGCCCCGCCCTGGCCCCAGGGGTTGGGGTAGGAATCCCAATTTTACAATTTTGAAGCCTCATCTACCAAGGATGATTCTGACCAAGTTTGAAAAAAATCCATCCACGGGTTCTTGAGAAGAAGTTGAAAATGTAAAAGTTTACGCACGACGGACGACGGACGACGACGGACGAAAAGCGATTAGAATAGGTCACTTGAGCAAAGCTCAGGTGACCTAAAAACGTTATAATAGATAATTTCTCGATTTGAAAAGAATCAGAATTGAATCACCGACTACGGTACATCATTTGATTTCATGTGCTCAAGGCCGATATAGTTAGCATGGCCTTCAGCGGAGAATATAGACGATTTCGATAGCCGCAACGTTGCGATGTATGTTCTGAAAGACCCCATAATACATCCATTTAACAACAGCACCAGTATATTAAAATGTGCCACAGCGTATTTGCGTATTTTTAGTTGCTCCTTTTGTCAGTGTGAGCAAGAAGTAAGAACACACGCATGTGGTTTTATATGTTTGAATACCACTTTTAAGCTTTTAAATTAAGCTGTGTGAACAAGTTTATGATATTTAAAATACATGTACAATTGATAAACTTCTCAATTCTGATCTCACCTTACTGGGGTTGTTTTTCAAAAATGGTTTTTAATTACAGTTTATTATACTGAAAACAAAGACTCGGTGCAGTAGTATAGAAATCCGAAAATTCACTCCACTGGAATATATTGGTTATGTGGAACAAGTACCTTCGGAAGTTTGTGGATGGTTGATTTAATCTACAAATGTATATGTGATCCTTGTCACTCTGGTAAAATACCATCTTCTTCATATTAACTTTTGTTTTTACTCGGGGGATTTCTCCCAACTCCTTTGGCGTCAGAATAACACAACGGGGGTCCCGAGTGAGATCCTTAGCGGCGACATTGAAATATCACTTACCGCGGGTAGCCATCAGAAAGACTATAACGATTGTGGTCACCGGTCAGATAATTTCGTATATGGCGTTGCGGAAATATGTTGTAAATGTGCCTCCATATGATGTTACCTGATCGCTTACCTGAAGTCACTTTTTTGGTTCCCTAGCACATTGATTGGCAATACTTCACATTTGTCCTTAGTGTTGGACGTTCGCCTAAATGAGAAAGACAATGGCATCTGGCCCGCGCCTAGGACATGTCCCCTGAAATTCAGGGGATGTTACTGTAGGTAATGAACACTTAAAGATAATTATTTAGAGTTGTGTCGCAAGCAGAGAGACAGGTATCCTTAATACAGATGAAATGAAAAATAATGTTGAGATGTTCCCTGACTCTACTACTCTCAGTGTCCGTCTCTAGCTCCCTGCTAGGTTTGCCTCAAAATGAGAAATGTCTATTAACAGATAAAGTGATTTAAGGACGTGCCTCCATGTGTGAAACGCATGCGTGCTTTTGTTTTTTGTTTGTGTGCCAACCTTTGAGTTATACCTCGCTGAAATACCATACCGAAAACATCCAGCACAGTACAGTATTCCTCCCCGTCACATCATACTGACCACGAGTGAACCAGTTGGAGCGATAACCCTGAATGGTGAACGTTAAGTAGAAAACAACCATTTGTAAGGACTTCATGGGTACGTCCCGGCCTGGGGACAGAACTCATTGCCTTTCCCACTAGGGCGAACGCTCAACACTTAGGCCAAAAGTGAGGTATTGCCTGGTAAGCAATAGGAAAAGGTTTTAACTACGTTTCTCCAAAAAAATATAATTAACCCATCATTGCCTGATCTACAAAATTTAATATTATTATTGTCATCTAATGACACACAGCTTTTGCAGGAAATAAGCCTCTTTATTTAAAAGTTATTTGAACTGAGGAAGGCAGGCTTGCAGAATGCATAAGTATGTAGTTTTGCTGTCCATTATACAGTATCAATGTTTGTTGAATGTTTGTTTGATGTTTGCAGCTCGATCCTTGTAAATTGGATGTAAAATGCAATAAAGTTGATTGATATATAATCACGGAATGAAGCACAACATTCTGTTCTAGACAACTGACACGCAGCCGTGCTTAATTTATGATTTCATATAGTTAGATATACTATTTAAGGCAATCGTGTACATACTTTCGATTTTAATTTTACATTTAGAAACACTATAAACAAACCTTCGAGTCATATTTATTTGTATACAACATATACTCAGTTGTTACGTGATTTTATATCAGTCTAGTGTGTGGTGACCCCGTGATTATATGTACCTATTATATCTCGGTTATATTGTAGAACGAGGCCACAGTCCACCGATAGGTTGAGTCACGCCACCATCACAGGGTCCTGGAAGCAAGGTTTTCAACACACACCTTTATAGTATTTTGGTCGCTCTGCTCACAGCGACTAAAGATTTTCTTTCAGATATATTTGGATCTAAACTAAAGTTTTCAGAGTAAATTTACACGTTTTAGGGGTTTAGATAACTAACGCTAAAATACCACCCACAGATAATGAATACGATCGTATATACAGCTGTGTCATTATTGGGAGAGGGGTGTTGACAAATGTTGATATAAACCTAGTATAGGTCCAAATAGAATTGTAACACATTTCCAAGTCCCTATGGTTCTACCGGGTTTCTTACCTTAAAGGAATTTATATATTATTTAAATGTTATATCAATCAGATGTTAATTTATACATAGAAAAACGTGTGATAATATAACATATAATTCAAAACTTTTATAAAAATACCTGCGGTGACTGAACTCTCAGGTACCTGTGATCGTAGTGCACTCAGTAGTTAGAAAAATCCAATTGTGCAGTCAGTTAAGAAGGGCAGCCCCGACGAGTGAAAGGCGGACAAAGATATCAAGGTATTGTCTTCTATAATTGTCATTATATTGTCTATACTGACATGTGTTGTGTAAGTTTATTTTTCCTGTTCATATTTGAAGTAAACCTAGACAAATCCAGATTCAATCCCGGTATGAAGTGCAAATCTGTTGACTCTATTGTTCTGGATTTTGTCGACGAAATTGTTCCGTCTTTAATCGATTTCTCGATCCGCCTCTGCTCGTAAACTGTCCTATTGACATTTTAACCGGGGGTGGGTGGGGTGGACACTGGTTAGTTGTCCAAATAAAATGAACACTTAAATTGCACTAGCGATTAAGAGTGGCTTCGCTCCTACGTTGAAGGAAGAACGCCCCACTGTTAAACCCAGGTTTGATGTGGTTGACCTCCTTTACCTTTGTTTAATATTTCATTTACTCCTGAAATATGAATAATGGACGAAATAAATATACATTTACCTTTAATAACACATAACCAAAAACAATATGCGTATATCATGCAGATTACATAGTAAAAACATAAAATAAAAGGAACAAGCTCGAATTTAATACTTCCTGAAGATGTTTTCATTTTATTTTGTAGTATGTTTGCTTTACAGTTAGGAGTAATTTATCTTCCTTAATCTTTCTTCTCCATTATATTTAGTTTTTCCATCAATTCATATCAATATATGAATATTATTCCACGACACATATATAGATATTATACGGTTCTAGTTTTGCTAAACCCTTAAATGTTGTGATTTTTTAGCTCACCTGGCACGAAGTGCCAAATCAGCTTATGCCGTGGCGCGGCGTCCGTCGTCGTCCGTTTTACTTTAAACGACTTCTTCTTAATAACCGAAAGGCCTCGGGTGTCGACATTTGGCCAGTAGCATGCTTGGGTGAAGGGCTACCAAGTTTGTTTAAATGAATGACCTTCACCCTTATTCAAGGTCACAGGGATCAAATATGTTAAAAACTTTAAACAACTTCTTCTCAATAACCAAAATGCCCAGGGTGATGATATTTAGCCAATAGCATGCTGAGATGAAGGGCTACAAAGTTTGTTCAAATGAATGACCTTCAACCATATTCAAGGTCACAAGGAGCAAATATGTTCAAAATATTTAAACAACTTGTTCTGAATAACCAAAAGGATCAGGATGTTGATATTTAGTCAGTAGCATACTATGATCGAGGGCTACCAAGTTTGTTTAAATGTATGACTTTGACTTATATTCAAGGTCACAGGGGTCAAATCTGTTTAAAATCTTTAAACGACCTCTTCTGAATAACCATGGGTCCCAGGATGTTGATACTTTGCAAGTTGCCTCCTGACATGAAATGCTATAAAATTTGTTCAACATAATGACTTTGTTCGACTTTCAATCATAGGGGTAAAATGTTTTAAAAAAATTAACAGGGTCTATTGAATGAATTTTAATCATAAATACTGAAAATTGGCCTGTAGCTTTATTTTAATCACTTTTAAGGTTACAAGTGTGAGATTTATACCAGGTGAGTAATGCAGGCCCATTGAGCCTCTAGCTTTTTATGCGGAGAACATGGTCACACATTTTTCAAATTGTTTTTATATTTTACCAGAATTACACGTTTATCGAGAGCGTATAGAATATATTTACATGTTGACCGATGTAGCAATAAATAAAACTTTGTTCAGTCATCTGTATACAATGTAGCTCTATGTTGATGCATTAAAACAAAAATAATATGAAACGGAAAATTTGACGGTCACACTTTTAAAAAAAAGTAACGGTCACACAATTATTCGACTGGTCGTTTCATCAGTACATACTTTTGAAATGTTAAATGGTTACAACTACTGTTATTTCTTCTAAGAAATTGTCGATGTTAACTTTCGTAAAGTAAGAGAATCGACAAATACGGATTCAACCATAGAAGTAGAATCCCTGTCAGTCACGCTTTATTGTTGCCTTGAGAGTGCTAGTATGAATTAATCCTAATGTGGCTATTAACTTGTGTACCTTTTCCGATTACTTCTTTCAATTAGGTGACTGTCTCTATTGTTAACAGTCTTGCGCTTTAGCTTAATTATCCGGGTGATAACGAGGTACTTTTTGACAAGGTACACACATGAAGACTATATAGAGAAAGGTCACGCCCCAGTATCAGCCGTTATCACAGAAACGTTTAAGATAGTGTCCCGCTGATAACACTATACAAAGAGTATGAAACAGTATGAAGCCATAAGATTAATGCCCTTATATAGCCCATTCTTGTGTCCTGTCAGGCTGTTTCGTCGTGTTATATGACAAATCTCGCTTATAATACTATACAAAGAGTATGATACAGTTGGAAGCAAGGAGATTGATGCCCTTAGACATCCCACCCCGAAGGCCCGCCAGGCTATTTCGTCGTGTAATATTACAAATTTACTTACAAAATGAGGGTTCTGAGACTTTATCTAGCTTCTTGGTACATTAACTGTTGTTGCTTGTTAATAAAATGAGTGATATATCCTGATACAGTTGAAAGTTGTCCAACTATATTTATCTATATGGGCCCAAATAATATACGGAAACTTTTTTCCGGTAACAGCACTTATCGTTTGACATTTCCGTAACTGGTGGGAAAAGTTCAGACCTTCGTTGTTACTGGGTAATATTCCAGACTTGCAAGGGAGAACACTGTGATAAATTCGACTATTTTCAACTTTCGATAATTAATTTGCCATTCCGCAGCAGGTACCTTCTAATCAGCTTCCATTCCTTATGGAATTTGCCTGTAACAGCTACTCCAGATCTTGTTCTAAATGTGGTTACCGTCCAATCCATTGCTTATGATAGTACAAATATTCATTGGATGTGGATATCTCTTAAAAAGTATGTGTGGATCAGACCGAGGGACGAACCAAACCATTTTCTTTAATAAGCGCTGACGTAATGTAACAAGATTACAATTTTTCTAATTTCAGCTTGATTTGGTTTCTGTGAAATGTCCCACTGTTCATTTTAAGGCTTATTGTATGTTTTAGTAAAAAATAATGGCCTCTTCAGGCACCCCCACCGACTGGCAAAGCGGAAAGACGCTGTCGCAGTGTATGGACCACGTATTCACGTCTGCCACAGCTAGTGATGTAACCTTTCTTGTCGGTGAAGACCAGAAAAAGATACCTGCCCATAAACTGATCCTTATAAGCAGAAGCCCAGTATTCTACGCCATGTTGGAGGGTCCAATGGCCAAGAAAGGGGAGATAACCATTCCGGATATAACCGAAGACGTCTTTCAGCTCTTTTTACGGTTTGAAGTTTCTTTCCTTTTATTCTCCATTTCCTCCGATTATGTGTCTTTAGTTTCAAGGATATGTTTTGTTCTATATATCAATATAAGTCAATTTGGGTTAAAAAGAATGGGTTTTATATCAGGTGATTAATGTAACATTTTTATCCACAAAGTTGATTAAGGCTGACAATGAGCGTTGTATTAATATAAATACACATTATGTTCACGATATGGTTTTTTGAATATTTTTTCCAATCCTGACTGGGGCGGAGTGGAGGTGAAACTGCCAGTTTGCCAATCTGGTCATAAACCTTTCAGCGACTAAGATATGATGATGATTTGACCACTGACATTTGGCCCTTGAAGTTCACATGAGAATGAACCCACGTGTCAATCACGACACATGCTCGAGTTGTAGGTTGTAGTTCCCTTATTTTATCAGGCTAAAAAAAATATAAACACGCACAACTCAGGACAAATTTGATTCTAAATAAGAAATCTGAGAAATTTTTGTTTGCTTAGGCTTCTTTTAGAAATTACAAAAACAGATTTGAACTGTCGAATTTCAAGATGGCCCCGTGGCAGCCATCTTCATTTTTAAATTAGTCTCAATATACAATAAGCACTAATAAAGACCTATTGGAACCTACAAAGATCTTACTAGGACGTCTTTGTAAAGGGCAATAATAAAATTGAACTGTCAAAAACCAAGATCAAGGCAATCCTGCTTTTTCAATCAATATTAGTCTTGCACACGTTCGACCAATGAAAATCTACGTATGAAATTCAAAACGACATAAAATAGTAATTGAACAATCTACATGTCTAATATCAACATGGCTACCTGGCAGTTAACTAGTCTCCAAATCTGATATGCACAATTACAACAAAGGAGAAACTGTATATGAAATTTGAGATAGATCTCCGAGATGCTTTTTGAGAAATAGTGTTTCGAGTCTCGAATTTTTTTCCTTGGCTTTCCGTTCAGTCTATAGTTCAATGTATACAACAAGGGACTACGGGGGACATACACGAAAAAGTAAAAAGAAACATCCCCCGTTCTCTGAGAAGTAGCGCTAAGAACTATTATACTCAAAATTACAAATTACCATCTGTCAGCCTCTTGTTCTTCCAATCAGTCCTACGATTCAACATGCACAACGAGGAATTATTTGGTACCTACATGCGAAATTTGGGAAACATCCCTCCAGTAGTTCCCGGGTAATAGTGCTAACAAGCTGTTTCTTTTTTATCAGTTCAAATTTCAATATATATTACCAGGAACCCTGGCGAATCTTCATGGATTTTTTTAATAAAAAATCCCTCCAGTACTTTATGATAAATAGCGCCAAAAACCCTTCACTCTCAATAATCAAAATGGCTGCCTGTCGATCACCCCTGTGTTCCGATCAGGCCCAAATTTGAATATACATACCAAGAAACAGTGAAAAAACTTTTTCTGAATTTTGAGACTGATTTTTCTACTTTCTGAGAAAGAGAGTCAACATAAATTGTTTACGGACAGACAGACGGACGGACTATGAACGAAGGGCGATTTCAACAGCCAACAATCTGACGGAAGTGGGCCGACATACATCATATTTTCCTCAACTTAATATCTGCATTGTTTCATTACCCTATTAAAAATTAACATAAAATGCAAATGTAAACATGGTGTATTTAATAAGAACTAATCTCTGACAACCACCCGATATAATTAATGGGCTAAAATACTGCAGATTTACTCAAATTAATATTTCTACCGTTTCTTTACCTATTTAAACCGTAAATAAATTGCAAATGTAAACATGGTATATTTAATAAGAATAAACATCTGAATATAATATTTATATCTATTTAGATATCTGTACACAGACACAATCAACTTGACGGAGATGAACGTAGTACCTGTGTTGAATGCTGCCAGGAAGTACTGTGTCGACATTCTAGTTACCAACTGTGAAGACTTTCTGAACAAAAGGCTGTCAGCGGAAAATGCTTGTCTGTTCTTGGAACATGCGCATGTTTTCGTGATGGATAAACTGAAAACCGAGTGTTTAAACGTGATAGGTGAATCTTCAACAGATGTACTGCAATCAAAGGCTTTTACTGACCTATGTCCGAGTTGTTTGACCAGTATCACGGAATCAGATGACCTTCATGCTGATGAAAGTGACGTGTATATGGCCGTTATCAGATGGGCTGCAGCTGAATGTAGCCGTCAGAACATTGAGGTGAGAGATATATATTGCAGAAATTAAGTTCCCGATGGAACATATAACAAGAGACCAAAGGGCCTTAACGGTCACCTAAATTATAGTATAGGTCCACGAAGCTCAATTTCATTGTTGAGATGTGATGTGGAAATCAACATGTAAACAAAGTGAAATATAATACTTATCAAATCACCAAAGGTTTAGAACTTTCAAAACTAATCAAATAAATCATTTGGCTATTGAGAAATATAATATCTATTGTTATTTAGCAAATTTTCCTCTTTAGCCAACCCCTTGGATATGTCAGGATCTTACTTTCTGATACTATTTGATTTCATTTTCATTAGAAGTATTCCAACCAGTTTGAATGATTTCTTGCTGAAAATGAACAAGATATAGTTTGTTTGAAAAACATCTGACTTAACTTTTGATTTTCCCAATTTTGGCCCAACCCTCATGCCCATGGGGATGGGGCAGGATCTTATTTTTTCATACCATCTAATTGCTATCTGGCATCATAATCATCCAACCACGTTAGTATAATTTCCTACTGAAAACTGACAAAATATACCAAAAAGTGATATTTCCCTTTATAAACATTAGTAAACTTTACACCCTCCAAAAGGGAAAACGGATGACCTGGGGATACAGGAATTTACAATTTAATCAAAGCCCCTGATGATCGTTCCATCCATGCAGAGAAATTGACTGTAGTACCTCTTAGTCAGGAGAAAAAGGTTTTCGAAATATTGGTTAATTTTCCATTTGGGGCCCCACCCTGGCCCCTGGGGGTGTTGAAAATGTAAAATGTTTATGCACGACGGACGACACCGGACTGAAAGCGATCAGCTCAAGTGAACTAAAAATACTAAACGCGATTATTTTTTTCAAATTTGCAGTCATCTTTTTGTAAAGGTAACACAATTGTTATTATTATATTGCTGAGCAAACATACGCTATATTTAACATGTAAGTGTTTTTACATTTATAATCAAAATACATTTACAATTGAATTACATTACAGTTCATAGGTTGACGTGCCATGCAAATATTCTTACGGTATATGGTTACATTTCCGTAATACGTATAGCCGATTTATTCGAACATAAATCGAGCACTGTCAGTTAAGTAATTACAAAATGTTGTTACCTTTACAGTACCATTACTCGAATCAGATCGATGTGTATTTATCATTTCAGAGCAATCCCGAAAACAAACGGCAAGTCCTTGGAGATATTCTGCACACAGTGAGGTTCCCGATAACTGATTCCGACTTTTTCTTCAAGCAAGTTTGTCTAGATAAAGTACTTCCGGGGGACATGGTACTGGATGTAATCAACTGCATCATGCACGACGAGGTCAAGGATGTGCCTTGGCTCAATATGAAAGCCCGAAAATATACTAAATTTACAAGGGAGAGTGTATGGCGATTTAAGGATTCTTTGAATGGAAAGTTGTACCGCCCAGGTTACCCTGAAGCTATTTCCTTTAAGGTTCCATGCGCAATGAAACTATACGGAATTGGGTCATTTTTAACTAGTACAGAGCCTAGCACGGTTGATATAGAGGTGTATGATGGAGATATTCTTCTCTACAGCGGGAATAAATTACCCCTGGTCAAAAACGATTCTATGGATACAGGCAATGTTTTGCTTGCGGAGCTAATTCCACTATCGGCTGGAAAAACGTACACAATCAAAGAAGTATCAGCAGCGTATAAACAACACTACTCCAACACGGGTTTAAAGAACGTAGACTGTAAAGGGAGAACAATTACTTTTATGAGCAGTTCCACGAGCACGTACTCGACGGTTGATATGGGTCAGATTCCGTTTCTTATCATAGGACCATAGATCATATTGGCGATGAACAGTAAAATGAATCGGCTGGATAACAACTATATTTAAGAACCATCTGGATTTGAAGATCACCATTGTGTCATCCAAATACAGAAGTGTAGTATAAATATTGATATTCATTATAATACTATCACTGTGATGAGAACTCCAAGGGGTGATATACTGTACTTTACATGTATTGAAGCCTCAATCATCGTGGCGTTTAGGACAAAATATTTAAGGTGGAAGTCATACTAACTAATACCGACAAAAGTACGTCAGTGTGTTGTCTGCAAGTTAATGGCCATTTTAATCATCATTGAGATGAAAATTGATTTCTATAAAAATCGATCTGAAAAATCATTGAGATTGAAATTAGTTTCTATAAAAAACAAATGAATTATTCAAGACGTTTAAGTATCGATATAACTTTCAACCTTTCTGATCGCGGGAAATCATAGTCAATCTGAGGGATGAGTTTTATATATTTTGTTAGAAAAGCTAAGATGTACATTTAATGGCAGATCATGTAAATGAAACAAATTTTGAAGCAATGAAACTTTTACTTCAGTTAAATCAGCTTCAAAACCAAACGAATTTAAGGTCATAGTGTTTATGGTTGCATCCTCAACAATTCGAGCAATTTTGTCAAACTTTTTGCCTCAAAACCCTCTGTTCAGAGAATACTGTTCTCTTATAATCATGCTTTACATTCAGTCTCGTTCTTTCATCTCAATGTAAATCAAATAATTTCAAGCAAGAACGTCATTTCACACGTTGGTAATCTAATTTCTTTAGAATACAAGCAAAAACATTTTTTTCATGAATTGATGGAATTTTCCTAACATCACAAACATTTACACATTTATTTTACTTACCTTTAACAAGAGGCCATAAGTAATTTAAAGCTTACCTGCTATAGCTAAACATGAAACAGACAAATGGATTACAAGAACATTTGTTTGTTTGTTTGTTTGTTTGTTTGATTTTGTTTAACGTCCTATTAACAGCTAAGGTCATTTAAGGACGGCCTCCCCTGTGTGTAAGATGCATGCGTGTAGTGTATGTGTGTGTATTTTGGGAGGCTGCGATATGTTCGTGTTCGTCTCCTTGTGATAGCGCGGAACTGATGCCGACTTTATAGTGCTACCTCACTGAGACATACTGCCGAAGACACCCAGCAGGACGCCCCACCCGGTCACATATTTCATAAATAAATGTTTAGTTTGCATTACTGTATGTTTTTATCATTTTATGATTTTTTAACACTTATATATACATTTATATATATACGTTAAATTTATTTCAAAATGTAAGCATGTTACATGTAGCATAATCCATTTAAACACGTGCTTTGAAATAAAATTACGTCTTTTAAACATAATTGTTTTTCTATTATCATTATTATTTAATGCTTTACGGCCCGTCAACACAGGATATGTCATTAGGGCAAAATAAACCCAGAAATATGTCAGAATGACATGAAAGTATCCCCCATTATTCTGTATGATCATTTCCCGAAAAATCTTTGACCAAAATTAAGCTACAACGGATATATTTCCACCTATCAATCAAAATGGTAAACAACGACCAGGTGTAAATACATACACGCTGTTCAGGTAGCCATGCCAACACATGGAATTAATAAGAAAGCATGTTGCAAATATAACGTAAGCGTTGACTGACACCTCGAATACGGTGTGATCTGCGCGCTGACACGGTCACCTGGCATGGGCATGAGCAGAACAGGTAATTGGAATATAAAGTTTCAGAAAAGATTCAATCTTATATAAGGATAAATCTTTTACTTTTTGTTTGTTATGAAATACACTTTTCCAAGTAGTTTTCTGATCCGACTGAATCGGTCATCGATATCGGCATAGTGTGTAAGCTTAAATGCAGTCAAACAGGTCCGACGAGGACCGCCAACAGCCGAATTCGCGAGACATGAAGAACACCAAACAATTGTGATTTCAGCAAGTTTCCTTTGAAAGAAAAGATCGGAATGTATTTGGCTGTTTTGAACCCGTCAATATTTATTTTCAAACTCAAACGTTTATCATTATCGGTTCAATTCGCATGGATGTCACCTTGTTCATTCCTGCCGGTTAATATCATCACGCGACCTTGACTCTTTGCGGTACACAAACTTGCTAACTTCGCCACTTTATCCATGTCGTTTTGACACATTCCTACTGTCAAGATTGAAAAGTTCATCATGATATTAGCCAAGAACGACATTTTAACACCAGAGTGATAAATGCGATGCAATTCTTCGTTATGTTTCCCGATATGTGGTATTTATCAATTCACAACTTAACGTCCTGAAAAGTTGGGCCCACTTTACTAGAGTGTATTTATCCGATTCTATCGAATAATATGACTTAAACATGCAACTTTTCGTAATTGTTAAATTAGCAATGCAATCAGGGGTCATTCAACGAAATTTAGCAGTTGATTGCTGCGAGCAAATTTCAAAACACTTCCGAAAATCCCCAAAAAAATCCTACGATAAATGGTCGCGACCAAGGACTGGTTTTGGATTGTTCTTGAGTACCGTGTGCTCCCCTTTCTTGATACTTCATTTTCCTTAAAAAAGTGCGCATTATACACACATATTACGGTAGTCGTTTGTCAGACATAAACTATCTAAATCAATCAATAGCAATTTTTAATATAACAGTGTACCCCTCGGGAAATTCAAAGGTGCCTGATTCATACTAGGCACATCTTTAGGTTATTTGTAATTCCCGTGTGAAATTTGGAACGCCTTTAGGTTTTATCCCATTCCAAGAGCTTGTAATTAGCGCCTGTTATATGCCGACAGCAGCAAACATTTTACAGCGTAAGGCATATCGGAATCTGGGACTGAAACCGATATTAATAGTCCCCACTGGGGTTCCCCCAGGGATGACTAAAAGTAAAGTTCATATTTAGGTATAGTGAGGAAATTTGTTTCAATAAAATGTTGAGCTTCAGTTTAGTATTTGTTTTAATATGTCCCCTCACAGTGTCTGCCTGTCTTTCCAACATTTTCTTAAATCATATCATTGAAGTCTTACTGTCATCAATATATCGCAACTTTTTTCATGACACTTGAAAGCTACTTCCCCTGATAACGGTTGCATTCAAAATTGCTTATCTCAGGTGGCCGTCAAGGCCGCTAGGCCTCTTGTTGGTTTTTGATCGAATTCATCATTAGCTGGTATTTCACATGAGAACAGAGAAGTGGCGATTTTCAAGTCAATAAAATAGCAGTGTGTCCTATAGAGTCTTAGAGTATGATAGTGCATTAATCACGTGTGGTGAAAAGAAATGAAAAGCGATGTTCCTATTGATCAGCTTTTTGTTTTTTATGGTACCCTCCTGACAATAAATCGAAAGAATAACAAGCAATATGTTTGATGTATAGTTGAATGATATTTATCAATCTTTATTGTATAATTAACACATGTATAATGAATCAGTGGACCGAATAAACGCTTTTTGTTATTCGAGATCGTATATTTTCCCATTTCTCCATTCAGTAGTTTCTAGCTCGGATGTATTTGATGTTAATTGAGTATCGGGGTGGTAATTTTTCGCCATTTCCGTAACACAAACATGTTAATTCTGATTTGAAAGAAAATATTTAGAAGGTGTTTATCGTACCAAATTATGTAATTAACAAGAGATATAATGGTGGGTGCACATCCGGCTTTCATTGATTCGAAAGCAATACATGAAGGTGAAGGCTCATTTACGAATAATTATTATAATTAAATGCATAACGACCCATCAGCACAGGAAAAGTCATTAGGGCCAACACATTTTTGAAAACAAAAATAAAAACGTTATTATAGATAATTTCTCGATTTGAAAAATATCAGAATTGAATCACCGACTACGGTACATCATTTGATTTCATGTGCTCAAGGCCGATATAGTTAGCATGGCCTTCAGCGGAGAATATGGACGATTTCGATAGCCGCAACGTTGCGATGCATGTTCTGAAAGACCCCATAATACATCCATTTTACAACAGCACCAGTATATTAAAATGTACAGTTTTTTCAGTGCCACAGCGTATTTGCGTATTTTTAGTTGCTCCTTTTGTCAGTGCGATCAAGAAGTAAGAACACACGCATGGGGTTTTGTATGTTTGAATACCACTTTCAAGCTTTTAAATTAAGCTGTGTGAACAAGTGTATGATACTTAAAATACAACACAGCGGTTTTTCATCCACGTCGAATGTGTCATATAAATGAATGCACATTGTATGATGTCCACAGTAACACACACAATATTAATGTATTATACTCTGCATGCTTGAGAACAGAATAAACCTGCTGTATCCAACTTCAAAGGAATTCCGCCCTGAACTTATGTTTTCAGTAAATGGAGATTTTGGAGACAAAAAACTGATTTGCTGTCCCAATAGCAATACCCGGAACCTTCATCTTTTTCATACTTTTCTTTTCTGTGGTATGTCGAGAACGTAAAATGACCTCAAATATTGCAGGTGATGCAGCAGATTTATTTTGTCATCTCTTTAGAGTAGGAGGCACAAAAGAAAACCCTTAATTCTACAGTGAGGTTCCAACGTCTTCCTTTACACCCATGCAGTGAACGATCATATAATAACAGGTTTGGTGGCGAGTTTATCGTCACAAAAACAGCTAATTTCATATAACTACGTGTCTCCGTGTGTTTAGTGTATGTGGAAGAGGTGTATTGGTGTGTATGCATCCTTGCGTTAACATATATATTAATCCGACGCTATATCAATGAAATACACAAACACTGAGTGTAAGGAACGACAACTATGGGTAGAGATTGTGAAATACCATCTAGCCGATAACAGTTTACTGGCAATGCGTTACAGTAACCAGTTGTTAAAATTACCCTAAATGCTCAATATTTAGCAGTGGCTACCAACTACCTTTCCTTTCGACTTTGACATGTCCCAGGCACGGGTCAGATGCCATTGTCTTTCTCATTTAGGCGAACGTCCAACACTACGGACAAATGTGAAGTATTGCCAATCAATGTGCTAGGGAACCAAAAAAGTAATGTTTCAGTGAGCGCAGCTGATTCAATTTGGTTAATTTTCGGTCCCTAACTGGTGGTGTTCTTAAAACATTTTGTTTGACGTCCTATAAGACCTTTCCCATCTTTGGGTAGACCTAACACGGAGTGTGAGACAGAGACAATAACAGGGATAATTTCAAAGTAGCGTATACATTGTAGGATATGTCCGAGTGTATACACGCACATGCACGTGACTACAGGTAAGCGATCAGGTAACAACATCATATGGAGGCACATTTACAACATATTTCCGGACATATACATATACGAAATTATCTGACCGGTGACCACAATCGTTATAGTCTTTTTGATGGCTATCCGCGACAAGTGATATTTCAATGTCTCCACTAAGGATCTCACTCCTCGGGACCCCCGCTGTGTTATTCTGACGCCAAAGGTGTTGGGAGAAATCCCCCGAGCCAAAACAAAAGTTAATATGAAGAAGTTGGTATTTTACCATAGTGACAAGGATCACATTTACATTTGTAGATTAAATCTACCATCCACAAACTTCCGATGCCACGATATTTCCATATTACGAAAGAAATGTTTAACGCTTTCGCATTTTCGATTTGTAAGCTGAAGGTCCTTGTTCCACACCTTTTCGTATAATGAGTGGTGGGACGAAAGAACGCGTATGAGCATCCCTTCGTAGCAAAGTAGCGTCTATCAATGTTCCTCCGCAATAGTAACATGATGGCGACGACGCGAGCATCATCATTCTGTCAGATAAGCTACACCAGTTAGCCATAAAAGGAGTGGTTCTCTGTATAAAATGTTCTTGCGTATTCTCCTGAAAATAACAACAGAAGTAGAAATCTGTTTTTATTTTCTGCTCTTTTCTTTTTCGTTTTAAATCGACAGGTTTTGGGGTATTTTCGCCGTGCAACACAACCAAAATAATTTAATATGCTATTCTTAGAAAAATTACCTAGGGATAATTCCAGTGGAGTGAATTTTCCGATTTCTATACTACTGCAATCAGCTGTAGTATCCACTGAGTATTTGTTTTCAATATAAACTTTTTTGAAAACAAACCAGTAAGGTGAGATCAGCCTTTAGAAGTTTATCAATTGTACATGTAATGAAATTCAGGGGATGTAACTGTAGGTAAGGATTACTAAATGATAATTATCTAGTGTTTTGTCGTAAGCAGAGAGACAGGAATCCTAAATACAGATGAAATGAAAAATAATTTTGAGATGTTCTCTGAATTTACTTCTCTCAGTGTCCGTCTCTGGCTCCATGCTAGGTTTGCCTCAAACTGCGAAATATCTATTAACTGATAAAATCATTTAAGGACGTGACTCCATGTGTGAAATGTATGCGTGCTTTTGTTTTATGTTTGTGTGTGCCAACCTTTGAGTTATGCCTCGCTGAAATACCAAATCACATCCAGCACAGTACAGTATTCCTCCCGGTCACATTATACTGACCACGAGTGAACCAGTTGGTGTGATAACCCTGAATGGTGAACGTTAAGCAGAACAACAACTACCATTTGTAAGGACTTCATTAATACGTCCCAGCCTGGGGACAGAACACATTGCCAATCCCACTAGGGCGAACGCTCAACACAAAGGCCACGGAATATTTATATATATTACACAATATATGTGAATGCTATTCTTATCGGGTGATGATCTACACATAAACAAGTGTATGATAACACAATCTGTTATTTAAATGTGCTATACACATGCGGTGTCTTAACTATTAGGTACCTGTCATCGCAGTAATTGGAAAAACCCCGATTGTACTTTCGGTTTAGAAGGGCAGCCCCGAAGAGTAAAAGGCGGACAAAGATATCAAGGTATTGTCTTCTACAATTGTTATTATATTGTTTGGACTGACATGTGTTGTGTAAATATATTTTCCCCTGTTCATATTTACATTTAACCTGGAAAAATCAAGATTCATGCCCTGTATGAAGTGCAAATCTGTTGACTATACTGTCTATATTGTTCTGGGTTTTTATCGACGAAATTGCTTCCTCTTTACTAGAATCATCGATCCGCCTCTGCTCGCAAACTGTCCTATTGACATTTTACGGGAGGTGGGTCGGATATTGGTTGATTGTTAAGATAAAATGAACACTTAAAATGCACTAGATAGCACCAGAGATTTTGAGTTTCACTTTTCTTGTGGGTCCTACGTACGTTATAGGGATAATGTTCCACTTTTTAACCCAGGTATTATGCGGTTGACATCCTTTACCTTTGTTAAATATTTCATTTACTCCTGAAATTAGAATAATCGACGAAATATATTATTAAACATTACATTTTCCTTTAACAACAATGGACAAAATATAATATGAAACATAAACTAAAAGGAAGAGGGTCAAGGTCATTTATTTTAACAAACTTGGTAGCCCTTCATCCCAACATGCAACAGGCCCAATATCAGTACCCTGGGCCTTTTGGTTATTGAGAAGAAGTTGTTTGAAGATTTTAAGACATTTGTCCCCTGTGACCTTGAAAGTGGGTCAATGTCATTCATTTGAACAAACTTGGTAGCCCTTCATCCCAGCATGCTACTAGCCAAATATCATCAACCTGGGTCTCTTGGTTATTCAGAAAAGGTTCTTTAAAGTAAAAAGTAGACGCCGGACGGACGCCGTACCATGCCATCAGCTCAACTTGGTAGTCCTTAATCCAAGTATGCTACAGGTATGCTACAGGCACAATATCAGTACCCTGGGCCTTTTGGTTATTGAGAAGAAGTTTTTTGAAGTTTTTAAGTCATTTTACCCCTGTTACCTTGAAAGTGGGTCAAGGTCATTCATTTGAACAAACTTGGTAGCCCTTCATCCCAGCATGCAACAGGCCAAATATCAGTACCTTGAAGATTTTAAGACATTTGACCCCTGTGACCTTGAAAGTGGGTCAAGTTCATCCATTTGAACAAACTTGGTAGCCCTTTATTTCAGCATGCTACAGGCCCAATATCAGTTCCCTGGGCCTTTTGTTTATTGAGGAGAAGTCGTTTGAAGATTTAACGACATTTGACCCCTTTGACCTTGAAAGTAGGTCAAGGTCATTCATTTGAACAAACTTGGTAGCCCTTCATCCCAGCATGCTACAGGCCCAATATCAGTAC